CAAGGGTTAGCTTCGCCTTTCTAGGTTAACCTCGCACATGTGCACTGGCCTTCGGCAAAGCAATGGCTTTCTCCACCTCTGCTCAGCTTTTTTTTGCGGGTTATTTTCGGTTCTTGTATCACTTCCATGCTGTTCTATAAATTGGGCAAGCAAGGCTGGGAAAGATTAGGAATTACTGTAGATTGCCAAAAGATTGAAGCAAGTAATTAATCAAATCTCAACGCGGAGGGAGCCCAAATCCCAAAGCAGTTTGGAGCATGTATGAGAAGCTCCGCCCCTCTTGGCGAAACGACCAGGCCTGAGCCTTACCGCGACCTGTAGCGCCGCGGAGCCAGCGCGCAAGGCTTAGTGGGCAGTAGGTGTGTCGGTATGGAGCCTGATGGTACCTATGAGCCGGGCTTCGTGGGTATTCGATTCTGTCAAGAATGGTGAGGCCGGGTAAGCAGGTGCGGGAGGGCCACAGAAATGGCCTCAGGATTGACTATGACCTCCCCTTTTCGCAGTAACAACATGCTGTATCCCAAGGAGGACAAAGAGAACCGCATTCTACTCTACGCGGTGAGTGCGAACACTCCGGCACCCCCGATTTTCTAGCCTCGCCCACCCGTCCCCAACTTGGCCCTGCCCCAAATCCGCTTGGTTCCAATTCCCTGTTTTGCCCTCCGAAATGTTCTGGTCTCGTTTCCCAACTTTTCTGCACATGAACTCCACTTTCCTGTCTTGTCTGTCCCCGAAGTGACCCTCGACACACTCATTACCTAGTTCCTTGTGGGGAAGGCCCATGCCCTCGATTCCATCTCATCTGAGGTCTCACTCGCTCTCTCACAGTGCCGGAACTGTGATTACCAGCAAGAAGCCGACAACAGCTGCATCTACGTCAACAAGATCACGCACGAAGTGGAGTGAGTGGCTTATGGGGAAGCCTGGGGTGGGGGGTTGGCCTGGGAGACAGTGTCGTGACTCTGTTCCCCTCCTACTTCCGTAGCGAACTGACCCAGATCATCGCTGACGTGTCCCAGGACCCCACTCTACCGCGGACCGAAGACCACCCTTGCCAGAAGTGAGCGTGCCCTTGGGATGGAGGAAAGGGAAATTGGATCATCCCCACTGGCGGGGGAGGGAGGGAGGAAGGAAGGGTGCAACAGGTGCTGAATAGTAAAGCTGTCCCTTCAGGTGCGGCCACAAGGAGGCGGTGTTTTTCCAGTCACACAGTGCACGAGCCGAGGTGAGTGGGTAGACAGGGTTCCTGGGCATCTATCTGTCCTGGGCTTGGTCCTCCCTCAGCATTTGGTTGGGTACCCTTCGAACGAATCCCAGGCTCCTAGATTAACCTTTACCAATGTGGAGAGCCCTGTTGTCTGATCTTTTGAGGAGAGGCACTGCTGGGTGGATTTGTACTCTCGTGAGTCTAGAGCTTCCTAACTGTGAGTCTTTTTCTCCAGGATGCCATGCGTCTCTACTACGTGTGCACAGCCCCACACTGTGGTCACCGCTGGACTGAGTGATCACTTTAACCTCTATTCCCTCACGTGTGATAAACGAGCTTATTTCTGTGAGTATGTGTCATGTCTTTATTTGCCTGTCACACATAGGACACCAGGTGACCATGTCAGGCTGTGAGGTGCAGGCTGCGATGCTGCGCATAGGTATCAGGTCGAGAGCTGGTGAAGCCGCAGTCCTCACATACGTGTAGCTTCTCACGGCGCTCGCGATAAGCATAGCTGGCTGGCTGCCCGTGCACCTTGGCAAGATGTGCTTCCAGCGAGCAGCGCTGGGTAAATGCTTTGCCACACGATCCACAGCGGAATGGCCGGATCCCTGCGTGGATGAGGGCAGGATGATCAGGACAGTGGTCTCCAAATTAAAAACTTCCCCACCTTGCTCTTCTCCAGCTCATACTCACTGGTCTTTTCTGCCTGCTACCCTGAAAACTTGAGCCACACCCCTGTGTCCCCAGCCCTTCCACACGCCCCAAGATGTACCTTCTCCTAGTAGTAGTAGTGGAGGGCACAGTGTTCCCTCTCACCCTCTAGTCTGGGATCTGAAGCCTGTGACCAACACTGCTCCTCTCCATTTCATATTCTGCCTCAGGCTGAGCCCTCCTGTGTCTTGGGGCCTTCTTAACTTCCACTTGCTGGGGTTTGTGGGATACCGTATCCCAAGTCTCTTGTTGGCTGTGTCCCTGCCCCATGTACAGAAACACTGGAAAGTCCACATCCCCAAACACTTCCCTAAATTTTATTGCACCTCGCTTGGACCTAGCTGTCCCTTCTTGTTTCTGCCACTGCTCACCTGTGTGTGTCCTCATGTGGCGCTTGAGATCAAAGGCGTCATGGAAGCCCTTGCCACAGCAGTGGCACACGTGGCGGCGTGCTGGGCTGTGACACTTGAGGTGCCGTGTCAGCATGCGCTGCAGTGGGAAAGCTTTGGGGCAGAGTGGACAGCCAAGTGCCCTGGGGCTCCTGGGAGCCATAGTTCCAGTGCCCTGTGGGGGCTGTGGGAAGGATGTGACAGTTAGCCCTTTTGACCTGACACTGCCCACTCCATTATTTCACAAATCAAGGAGGTCTGGGAAGGCTAGAGACTGCTATTAGTGCTCAGATGCCGTTCTCTTCTAAGACCTTCCTGACCATCCCGTTACCTTTACTCTATACTCTTTCATATCCTGCCTCTATACTCTTTCAGTCCTTAGCTTATTCTCTGTACGTCTACTTTTCACTAGTATACATAATTCAGGAAAACATACATATTTGTCTTATTCTGCTAAATACTCCACACCTAGAACAGTGCCTTGCTGTTGATAAAGAATGAAATACCTTTAAGCACAGGTGTGTTGCAGTGGGTGCTTTCCTTCCAGTGCATGCACAGCTAAAACATCCCTTCCACCAAGAGCCCCCCCATTGCACTCTTGTCACCGTATCAGTCTGACAAAGCCATTCACCATCGACTTGTTGGCTTGAATCCTGTTCTTCCCCACTGGGCAAAAGAGCACAGGCGTCAGGACCTGGGGCTTCCTGCCCTGGGGAAGTGGTGCTTGGGGTGAGATCTGTGTGCTCACTGCTAGGAGAGGAAGGGCATTCTGGACACGGACTAATGGAGGGAAAGGCCCTGAGGCAAGAGGTCATGTGCAAAGCCAACTCCAAGAGTAAAAAGACAGGATCAGTCAAGACCGAAAGTGAGCAGCGCTGAAACAGCAGAGTCTTGTGGGCTGTTTGTAGACTCACCACTGCCCAGGAGCCCTCACGGCTGGAAGAATGGTGTACTGCTGCTCCTCCTAGGCTGCTGCAGTCTGAGGAGAGAAGCCAGACCATGATCCTTTGCGTGCCCCCAGGCCCTCACCCCGAGGTGCAGTGAGGAACCCACCTGGGACATAAGCATCTCCCCGGAGCTGGTCAGGCAGGTGGCCCCAGTTGGGTGGCTGTGGACGCCGACTCCTGACCAGGAAGACACGGGGCATGGCCTTCAGGAAGAGTGAGCTGGCTCTAGGCACACACAGACTGCCACTGCCTGCTGTTAGACTCAGCCCTGTACCACAGTCCCTGGTGGGGAGGGAGGAGAGAGCCTCATTCTCCATGCAAATTCTGTGACAAGCTGGGAAGCGGACTTAGTTGATTCCACTTAGCTTTGCTATAAGACCCACCATTCATCCCGTCCTGCCCCAGGTGTCTGAGGATAGCCCTCAGCCTCCAGGGGCCAACATGCACTAGGACCTCCGAAGGAGGGTCAAGCAAGGGCAACAAGAGGGCCTAGACAGCTCTTAGGTGTGGGGAGAGAAACAGACCCCAGGGGCCCTGAGTTTTCTCCACATGGTACTGGCAGGGCGGAGGACCTGAGTGTTTGCCAGGCAAATGAGTGACTACCTGACATCCAATGGCCTTGGAAGCTTGATTGGGCAGCCTGCTTGGTTATTCAAATCACAGCAGCTGTCTGGAAGTAGGGGAGAGGGAGAGGGGTCCTCGGGCAAAGTGAGGCTTCAGGATGTGCATCCTTAGGCAGGAGACTATCTATCTGATCTTCAGGATTCCCAGAGTGGATGTTAGGTTGGAAGGACTCTTTAGGTGGAGTGGGCATCAGAATACTAATTCGTTAATCTTCCACCTCTGGTAACTGCCTAGGACACCACACACCTCTCCCATGGTCCAAGAACTGAAGCGGGTTATCTGACATAGCTAGGGGCTCCCAGGAATCTAATCTAACTCTGACTAGCTCTGTTCTGATGGTCAGTGTCTAGACCTTACCAGGGGTTGAGGATTTTGAATATTCTTCTTAGAAAGAATGCAGTTACATTTTTTGATTTATTCATCTAATAATTTTCTGAGTTTCAGTTATAGTCCAGGCCTGACCTCAGTGAGACAGATTGGCAGTTGCCACAACAATGAACTCAAACGTGCCAACCAGTATGAAGATGGCGCAGGACTGGGCGATGTTCATTCTGTTTCATATAAAGTCTCCATGAGTTGGAGCTGACTGGACAGCAACTAACAGCAACAACAAAGTGCAGCACTGAAAATGAATAACAGAATGTGGGGGAGACAGACTAGTCACCAGTGACAGTCCAGAATGGTCAAGGCTGTGGTGGGGAAAACAGGCAGAGTGATAGGGGAGCACATGCAGTGATAGGAGCTGTGATGGAGGATCCCGGGCAGGGTGATGGGGGCCGTGACCGGGGAGCCCGGGCAGGGTGATGGGGGCTGTGGAGGCCCAAAAGTTCCCGATCCAGCTTAGGCGTTCAGGGTCAGCTTCCTGGATGTGAGCCCTGAAGGAAGAAAAGGTTTTAGGTGGGATGTCCCAGGGAACAGTTTCTTCACATTCCCTGAAGGTCAGGCCTACTGAGTCATTTTGGGATGCAGTGCCCTGGTCTGCTTGCATGGAGCTTCGTCTGGCATTTTATCTCTGCAGGACCTGGGGCAAGTCACTTCTTCCTGCTGAGCCTCACTTTCTTCATCTGGAAAATAGGACCTAATGACTCCCCATATCACTTGTTTGTGTGGAGGATCCACATAGAGCATGTGGAGAGACTACTTAGCATGTGATCTGCGGTAGTTAGGAAGTCTTGAGTGGTATGGCATCTAGATACACATCTGTGTTTCAGTTAGCCCATCTGTAAAAAGATTTTAAATATCTCCATCTTCCAAGGTGATCGTGAGGCTGGCACAGGACGGGGCAGTGTTTCGTTATGTTGTGCATAAGGTCGCTATGAGTCAGAGACGACTCACTGACACATAACAACCAACAACATCTCACAAAGGGGGTTGGATTTCATGTAGTCATAACTGGTGGGCCTGGCGTGTCAGCACTTGGGGGTTGTCTGATGGTTACTGCTGCATGAAGGCAAGGCCAAGGGTAGATGTGAAGTGTAGGAAGTAAGTTGCAGTGAAGAATGAACTTGCAAACCCCTGAAACTATGGCCCTTAGTCACCCTTCAGGCCTGGAATTGAACTCACTTCTGTGGCTTCCAGCCAAACATTTAAACTACGTAGGTACACTCAGAACAATCAACCATAGGAGATCAGAAGGAGAAGGCAGTATTAGACAGAGAGACTGATCAGAGAACAGGAATGCACAGGAAAGACAGACACAGGGAAAAAGTGAACCACAGGGAGGAAATGGGAAGAGAGCTGTTAGATTATGGGGATTGCAGTCAATGTCATGGAATAAAATGTGTATGAACTGCTGTATGGAAAATGAATTTGCTCTGTAAACTTTCACCCAAACCACAATAAAAATTTAAAAAAGAAAAAAATGAACTTGCTTCCAGATTGGGAGAAGCTAATTGCTTCTTCCCAGTGCCCAGTTCTCCATGTGCACTACCTTCTCTTTCAGGGCAGTTGGTTTGCGTTGTTGCTCTGCCCTGCTCTGCGCCCAGTAGGCTCAGGTGGGTGGGCTGCACTGCCTGGGCTCTGAAGCTCTCCGGGTTCCAGTAGGAGATGGGGGGTGGACTAAGGTAAGGGTGTTGGTCCTCCAAACTCCCTCCTTGTGGGGTTGCCAGGGGCAGGCTCTTTCTCTCTTAAGGGCATAGCTTTCCTCAAGGCAGACCTTTCTTTGGGGATTGCTCTTCTGGGTTCCTGTTCCCTTTCCTCATGCCTTGTGTCCTGGGAATGGCAAGAGCTCTCTTCTAGTATTTGTCCTAGTGACTGCTCCAGCCATTGCAGTTTCCTATTCCCTGCTTACACCTTTGCAAACGATCCCTTTGTTAAACCCTCCTTGAGATGATATTCCATGTGAGCAACTGTCTTCTTCCTGCTGGGGCCCTGTTGGTCTGCATACTTCATGTGCATACATAGCCCTCTCCCCAACCCCCCATTCCCCCACCAGCAGTGGTTTCTTAACTAGTGGGTTTGCCCAAAGAGGAGGAAGTCTGGTCCTTTAAGGGCTGAAGAACTTGAAGTGGAAGACATACTGGATTCTATTACCTAGCTACTGGTCCACTCTTTCTTGCTGAGAACCCCAATTTTGTTTGAGCAGTAACATCCAGGCTAAAGGGAGGGATGGTTAGTCCAGGTAAATCAAAGCAATCTCTATTCCTATTGCCTGAGACTGATCTGAAAGGACAGGCCCAGGACCTAGCAGACCTCCTCGCAAGCCTCGGGCAAGGATTTGCATCCCCATCCTCTGGCAGTTGTACAGTTTTGCTCCTGGTTGGTTGAGGGTATACTGCTAGATGCTACAACACTCACGTTACACTATGAGGTGCTAAGATGGAGGGCAAAACTCAGGATGATGGGGCAGGAAAGAGGTTAGTCCTATGATGACATAACAAAGAATAACGAATGTTCTTACTTGAGAGTGTTTGGGCCTCTATAAGCCAGGTGTTTGCTATTTGGAGATGAAGTGTCATTGTAACATAGAACATCTTGCCTTGGGGGCTTTGGACAGGGTGATTTTGGTGCAGTGAATTACTAAATGTGGTCCTTCTTGTCATACTATTGTGACTCACACAGTGATTGAGTGGGACTGTGCAAATAAGGTGCTGTGACCCACCAATGGGATTGGATAGCTTGCTGCTAATGCCAGTGAGGTGTATGGAACCTGTGATGGTTAAGGTTATGTGTCAACTTGACTGGGACAATTTTCAGTGGTTTGGTAGTTGAAAAATGATGTAGTCATTCTCCATTTTGTGATCTGAGGTAATTTATCCTCCATTTTGTGATATGCTTCTATGCATGTGATTTGTGGTCCCATTTGGGAATGAATTGTCTTTTATGTTAATGAGGCAGGATTAGGGTGGGATGTATCTTAAATCACTACCTTACTAGAGGGTGTGACTCAAGTCACCACTCTTACCTCATTTACCACCTTTACCACCTTGCTCAAGTAAGGGGAGTTTCCTTGAGAGTATGGGCTATAGCTAATACCTCCATGAATGCTCTGGCAACGTCAACTCTCTTGCTCTGGATCCTGCCTCCAGCTCGTCATCATCTAACCTCTGGTTCTTGAGCCAGCAGCCTATCATCTCACCTGATTCGCCAACTTTAGCAGCCTTGTGAACCAACAGGTTGTCATCTGACCTGCCAGTTTGGGTTCATCAGTCCCTGCAACCCCGTGAGTCAGAAGCCTCCAGCCTGATGCCTGACTCACGGATTTGGGACTCGCCAGCCTCCACAGCCACGTTAGCCATTTCCTTGATGGTTCGTGAGTTCTGTTGTGAGGCACTGCAGTGAATAATGAATTACAGAACCCAGAGATGAGAGGGAGAGCACTGAGGGAAGAGGGGTGGTTGATGTTAGAGATGACAGTGTAGTAGTTTGGAAAAGCTGGACAGCTTTAACCTCCACTTTGTAGAAACCAGCTGTGTGCTAATCTTACTAAAAAATTATTTATGCAGCAACTGAGGCCAAGCAGAAGGGAAGAATGAGGTCTTCAGCCTTTATTCTGTGGTGGTGGTGGTGGGGGGGGTGGAGGCTTGGGCAGGGAGCCTCCCAGTCGAGGTTCTGCTCTCCTGTAAGCCCTGGACTATCTAGTCTTCCTGAGGCAGGGACAGGAAGCCTTGAGAAGTAACTATAGTTGATAATCTTCCCAAACACAGATTTCATTTAGAGAAATAGAGTTGTGAATGTTTCTTGGACTTAAATGTCATGAAGCAACTTCTGCCCATTGTGGTCCCCATTACTCCTCCCACCTCATCTCTCATCTCATACCCTCTCCCCTTACTCATTCCATTCCTGCCATGCTGGCTTTCAGTTCCTTGCACATAATCATGGGGCCTTTGCACTGGCTGTTCTGTGTGGATACTTTGTGTAGATGCCCACATGGCTTGTGTGTCTTTTAGTCTCAGCTTAAATGTTACCTTCTCAGAAAGGCCTTCCCTAACCCTTCAACAACAACAAAAAAAAACCCAAACTCACTGCCATCGAGTTGATTCCGACTCATAGTGACCCCTTTGGGTTTCTGAAACAGTATATCTTTATGGAAGTAGATTGCCCAGTCTTCTTCTGAGGTGTAGCTGGTGGATTTGAACTGCCAGCCTCCGGTTAGCAGTCAAATGCCTTAGGCACTATGCCACCAGAGCTCCTAACCCTTCAACAAGCATGGTTAATTCCTTTAGCCCACCTGCAACTATGCAGATACAGTTGTGTTTCTTCCCACAGGGTGGAGCTTCATTTCCTTTCTTTAACTTTTATTGAAGTGAAAGTCACATAAAATTTATCATCTTCAGTGAATAATTCAGTGGCATTTACTGCACTCACAAGATGTGTGATTGTAGTAAAATATATAATTTACCATTTTAACATGTTTTTCACATACACAATTTAGTGACATCAATTACAATAATCATATTGTACAACTATGACCAATATCCAGAGCCAAATTTCTGTCACCATAACCAGAAACTCAGAGTTTCCTAAACAGTGATTCTCCCTTACCCCCTTTTAACTATTGTGAATAATGCTGCAGTGAACATCTGTGTACAGATACCTATTTTAATTCCTGCCCTAAAGTCTTATACATTGCATTTTCGCTTTCTTAAGGTTCTTTAAGCACCACGTTTTAATTTTGATCAGATTTATTTTTTTCTGTTACGCATTCTGTGTGTGTCATACCTAAGAATCCCCTATCAAATCCCAGGTCATGAAGATTTACCTCTATGTTTTCTTCTCAAGAGTTTTAATGTTTATATTTAGGTCATTCATCCATTTTGAGTTACTGTGTTGGGAGCTCTGGTGACGTAGTGCCTAAGGCATCTGACTGCTAACCAGAAGGCTGGCGGTTCAAACCCACCAGCCACTTCTCAGGATACCACCTCTGAAACCCACGGAGGGGTCACTATGAGTTGAATCAACTTGACGGCAGTGAGTTTGATTTTTTTTTTTTTTTTTTTTGGTGTTTAATAAGGTATGAAGGG